CCACGGGTGGGGCGGCGGGTAGGCCACTGCCAGCCGTTCCGCCCGCGTGTACAACCTGTACCACCAAAATAATCCCTTCGGGGATTTTCAACACCAAGTCCAAAACACCCAAAATCTCACAAAATACAACAATATGACTTGAATCAAAGGAATAGCCAAGCAATGACATACAAGAACCCTAATAACAAGCTCTAGATATGCATTCTCACAAGACAATGCATCAAATCTCACATTTCATAGCAAAAATCACAAGTAGAATCCAAGAAATCATCATATAGGTAAGAAAATAGATTTTTTAAAGCATGGGTTACCTCTTGTAACCTACAACTTCACTTTTCACACTCTTACAAGCTTCTAACAAGGTTCTCCTTCAACTTCTACTTCACAAACACACCAAAAGACAACAAAGGTTTCATCTTTAGAAAAAGACACCTTAAAAGGCTCTAAAAACACTAAAGGACCAAAGATCTTACCCTCCTATATGCTCAAGAGTAGGAAAGGTGGAATCTTGGAGACCAACTTGAAAGATCTTGGAATGCCCAAACTTGGCTTGAAGAAAAAGCTAGCTAAATTCTAGAGAGAAGGAGGAGCTTTTGTTTTGAGAGTGTTAGAGAAAGAATGAAAGATGACTGTAGGTTAGCTTGGGATACAATCATGAGGTGAAATGTCTTCATTACCCTTACTAAGATGGAAAAGTGTAAGGGGACAAGGAAACTATTCACAAAGCTTAGAGTACAACTCATTGACTTGGGTTGACTAGTCAATTACTAGTCCTCGACTATTGAATTTTCAGTATTTTTAGTAATAAATCATCAATTAAGATAGGATTAATTACTTAATTAATCCTTAAATGAAATTCGGACTTACGGGGTGTCACATCCTCTCCCCCTTAAAAGAAGCTTCGTCCCCGAAGCTTGGGTACGATGTATCAAAACAAAACGGCAAAAGAAGCAACGATGTGACAAGAGTGTCAAGAACATCCTTTTGGTCAAAACTTAAAGGATTCAAAAGGTACAAAGATTATCAAGAAGTCATGGTATTGAAAGGTTGAAAAGAAGTAACCAACAGAGTTCTTTAAGCATATCAAACACTAAGCCAAACACAACCACCCAACTTCTAACCAACACCAAAGATCTAAACAACTAGCTCCTAGTACAACCCACAAAGCTAACTACTCAACAAAACTAGCAACAAGAAAGATCACACAAGGCAAACATCAAACAACTAACAGGCGACCACACCAAACGAGGAAGGAAACGAGATACCTGAGGTGAACAACTCTGGGTAACGCTCCCTCATAGCCGACTCCAGCTCCCATGTTGCTTCTTCTACACCATGATGTGACCACCAAACTTTTACCATCTTCACTGATTTCCTGCGGGTTTCCCGGGTTTTGAAATCCAAAATCCGAAGCGGTCTCTCTTCGTAAGACATGTCATCATCTAAAGGGATCACCTCCGGTGGTATTATGTGCGCCGGTTCATACACATACTTCTTAAGCTGAGACACGTGGAAAACATTATGCACTCGCTCCAACTCCATAGGTAATGCTAGCCGATAAGCCAAACCCCTATTCTTTCAAGAATCTCATAAGGTCCAATGAACCTAGGGCTTAGCTTGCCCTTCTTCCCAAATCGCATAACTCCCCGGGTGGGAGAGACCTTTAGCCAAACTTTGTCCCCAACCGCAAACTCCACCTGTTTCCTTCCCAAATCGGCATATGATTTCTGACGGTCCTGTGCCACTTTCATCCTTCCTTGGATGAGTTTAATTTTCTCCACGGTGTCATGCAAGTATTGTGGTCCTAGCACCACTGGATTGACCATGTCCTCCCAACACAATGGGCTGCGAAACTTTTGACCATATAGAGCCTCATACAGTGCCATTCGAATACTTGAGCGGTAGCTGTTGTTATAAGAGAATTCTATTAGATCCAGGTGATCCTCCCACGACCCTTGAAAATCCAGCATACATGCTCTCAACATGTCTTCAATTGTCTGAATGGTCCTCTCTGTCTGTCCGTCCGTGGCGGGGTGGAAAGCGGTGCTAAGGCTCAACTTCGTCCCCATGGCCGCTTGTAACGACTTCCAGAACTGTGATAGAAACCTCAGATCCCGGTCGGAGACGATATCCCGTGGCACACCATGGTACTTCACCACTTGATTAACATAGGCTCGTGCTAACTGAGTCATTGTCCATGTTTCCTTCATCGCAATAAGCCGAGCAGTCTTGGTTAACCGATCCATTACTACCCAAATCTTGTCCTTGCTGGTGCGGGTCACCGGTAAGCCTCCCACAAAATCCATAGAGATAGAATCCCACTTTCCTTGCGGTACCTCCAACGGTTGTACCAAACCCTTAACTCTACAGCGCTCCGCCTTGACCTTTTGACAGTTTAGGCATCGACCAATGAATTCCGCTATTTCCTTCTTCATATTGGACTGCCAAAAGAGGTTCTTCACATCCGTATATAACTTGTCACCCCCGGGGTGTACTGAATAGGGTGTATTATGCCATTCTTCAAGAATCTGACGCTTCAATCGATTACACGATGCGGGTATACACAGACGACCCTTGTATCTCAATCCCCATCAAGAGATAACTCAAAAGGTCCTACTCTTCCTTTAACTAAGTCATCCCTCGCCCTCACCAAACTAATGTCTTTCAGCTGCTCTTTCTTAATTTCTTCCAACAAGGTAGGCACAATCCGTAGGTTGAAAAGACGAATCTCCGACCCCGCTTCGCCTTGCTCCATCACTTCCAAGTTCATCCTTTGCAATTCTTTACAAAGCTCTTCAGGCATCACCCAAATGGAACTGACAGCGTGCTTGGACTTCCTGCTTAGGGCGTCAGCCACCACATTTGCCTTCCCTTCATGATATTGAATGTCCAGCTCATAATCTTTGATAAGTTCCAACCAACGTCTTTGACGCATGTTGAGGTCCTTCTCTGTGAATATATACTTGAGACTTTTGTGGCCTGTAAAGATCTTGCAACGTACTCCATATAGGTAGTGCCTCCAGATCTTCAAAGTGAAGACTACTGCCGCTAACTCCAGGTCGTGAGTCGGGTAATTCTCTTCGTGCACCTTGAGTTGTCTTGAAGCATAAGCAATTACTCTCCCATTCTGCATCAACATGCAACCCAGTCCCTTCTTGGAAGCATCACTGTAAACTTCAAACCCCTCAGTCCCGGATGGTAAAATCAACACAGGTGCGGTAGTGAGCCTCTCCTTTAATTCCCGGAAAGCTGACTCGCAAGCTTGGTTCCATTGAAAAGGCACATATTTCCTTAGCAACTTAGTCAAAGGCTGGGCCACTTTGGTAAAATCTAACACAAATCTTCGGTAGTACCCAGCTAACCCCAAGAAGCTTCTTACTTCAGCCACCGTCGTCGGCACGGCCCACTCTTTTACCGCCCGAATTTTATCCGGATCGACCGAGATACCATTGCTGTTGATTACATGTCCCAAAAACGCCACACTATCCTTCCAAAATTCGCATTTCGAGAGCTTGGCATACAATTGCTTTTCCCGTAAAGTCTGAAGTACTGTCCGGAGATGCCCTTCATGTTCTTTTCTATCCCGAGAGTAGACGAGTATGTCATCAATAAACATGATCACAAAGCCGTCGAGGTGAGGCTTGAATACCTGATTCATCAGATCCATGAACACTGCTGGTGCATTAGTCAATCCAAACGGCATAACCGTGAACTCGTAGTGTCCGTAGCGGGTTTTGAACGCAGTCTTAGGTATGTCCTTATCCGCCACCTTTAACTGATGATAACCTGACCTTAGATCAATCTTGGAAAATACCCCTGCACCTCTGAGTTGGTTAAACAAGTCGTCAATCCTCGGTAGTGGATATTTGTTCTTGATCGTCACTTGGTTTAACTCACGATAATCAATGCACAATCTCATACTTCCATCCTTCTTCTTTACGAAAAGCACAGGCGCTCCCCACGGTGATACACTAGGTCGAATATACCCCTTGTCCAAAAACTCTTGCAACTGAACCTTCAATTCCTGCATTTCTTTGGGCGCTAAACGGTAAGGAGCCTTCGATATAGGTGCCGTCCCAGGCACAAGATCCACCGAGAATTCAACTTCTCTAGGAGGAGGCATACCCGGGATTTCCTCGGGAAATACGTCAAGGAACTCTCGCACCACCGGTATGGATTGAGCCACATCTCCCTTTGCCATCAGATTCTCGACGGAACACAGATAGGCTTCGTGACCCTTCTCAAGATACTTCTTCATCCTTATCAACGATACTAACTTGACCCCGGACTCCACCGCTGTTCCCCGATAAGACACCCTCTTCCCGCTGGGTCTTCTAAGTACCACTTTCTGTTTGCCAAAAGGATCTGCGCTTTGAACTACCCCAGCCAATCCATGCCCAAGACTACATCTATACCGTCCAGGCCGAACTGGATTAGATTACTGGGAAACTCTTCTCCACCGATGACTATCTTAACGTCTTTGAAGAGACGGTCGCACGACTTGACTTCTTCGGAAGCCACCTTCACGTTCAGCTTCACTTCAACGCCATCGATTAAGCCTAGCTTCTTCACGAGCCCTGGTGACACGAACGAGTTGGATGCACCGGAGTCGAACAGGATCACGGCCGGAAGCGACTACACCATAAAGGTTCCTGTTACCGCTTCGCCATCCCCAGCCTGAGCTTCGCATAAGACAAGAGTCTTCTCACATGACGGCTCCCGCGATGAGTTCTGAACTCCCAAACTTCCAATCGATCTTTGCTCACGAGGCGGCGGTACCGTAGCATCATTGGGGCTTACTCTCGTAGACGTACCGCTCCTGATCCATTGCTCCACAACACTGGGAGTGTTGCGAACTCCCGCTACCTTGGGTTTCTTAGCCACTTTGCTAACATCGTCAAGCGATACCGCACGTTGGCGAGGCGGCGTCATGACAAAGCTTCTACAAGACCAACACTGTTACGAAATATAATATCCAAAAAAATAATATTTATATATACACATGAAAATATATATATAATATTATTGTATATTGATGGTTTTTGGGTTTTCGGGCCCAAGGAGGTCCAACACAACCTTTAGCTGGAGGATACACCTTTCAATAAAATGTGTGTCTCGAAAGAAAGAAAATGCTTTGTTTAGAATCTCTTCTATTCCCTCCCCGGGTCCTCTTTTCTGTGTCCGTCTTCTACAAGAGTGGAGGAGCCTTTATATAGCGGCTCCTCCCCCACTGACTTGAAGGCCCTTAATAGCCGACTTCAAGACTAATTAAAGTATCGAGCCGTTGGTCGCTTTTACTGAGCTGGCCAACGGCTCTCTCAAGCTCGTAACAGCCGGACCAAGTCCGGCCTTTTAATGCTCTAACGGTTCCCTGTTTAAGAGTCTCTTTGATGATCTCAACGGCTCCTTGAGCCGAGTCTTTCTCTGGGCTTGTGGCCTGGCCGACTCCTCGCCCTCGACCCAAGCTCTTGCTGGGCCCTTCTTAGCAATCCTGAGCTAGGTCCCCGTACTTGGGCCTAGGCCGATTCCTGGACTCGGGCCAAGCACCCTCCGGGCTTCTCCCGATGCTAGCCCACCTTTCCTGTCTTGGGCTCTCTTCTTTGGGCCAATCTCTCTTAGGCCGGGGTCCTCACCCCATTAACTAGTCCCTCACTTTTCCATACCCGGTCCGCTAACCTGGGTTTGGAAAAGTAGTAACTGTCCGTCTCCTTCAATCACCGTATCCGTGCCTTGAATGGCCCTTGTAACGCCCGGATTCTCTGCCCTTCTCCCGGATTCTGTGGGACCGTTTGGATCCTCCCAGCGTGACTTGGCACCTATAAATGGCCTCCCCTTTTCTTCCTCTCGTACATAAGTCCAACATGGGCCGTTCACCTCTGAAGGGGAAACGAATTGACTTTGGGTCTCCCTGGCGTCCGCTACCCTCAAAGCGGACTCGTCCTGAAAGAGAGCACAAAAAGAAGACTCCTCGTCCGGCTTCTCAAAGGTCTCCTGCCGGCGCCATTCCCTCGGCTCCTCAACCGTTGACTCCTTCTCGACGCGAGGTCGCCCCGTCATCACACCATCCGCCTACTCCCACAACTGCCAGAGTGACTTCTCAAGACGGGTTTTTCGTTGAAGTGGCCGTTCCAGAGCAGCTAACTTTCCGCATGACCTTCTCCATCCCGCTGGATGACTTGGACGGGCCGGTTACGGGCCTAATGAATGATGAGGATTACGTCCGCTACTTGGAGACGTATCCGGATGATGAGGAGCCGATTGTGCCACTACTTATGCCAGCCTTCTGGGACTCGTTCTGTCCATCTCCACCTGGACCATCGGGGGGATCCTTTGGGAGCGGCTCTTCCTCGCCTAGCGAGTGATCATCTTGGCCGGAGTCGGCCTCATATTTCAGAGGGGTCTTCTTTAGGAGCATTTTCATTATCCTTATTGTAATAAGCTCCTTGCTATTTGTACCCTTCTTCGTTTGCCAATAAAATGCTATTTTTGCACTGTCTTATATTTCGTGTTTTGTCGTGTATCCATCCGGACGACTGGTCAAGGAGTCGGTCATGTCGTCAGTCCTTTTTCAGTCTGACATCTGCAAGATTCCCCGTATCTCGGGTGAATCTAATCTTCTCTGCGCGGCGTGCGAATTTCGCTCTTCCCGGGCGGATTTGATGGAACTAATCTCTGATAGAGATTCGCGTCATCCGTCTAATCCGGCTCAGTTATGTCAGTTACGATTCCTTCCGTGATTACTGGCGAGCTGTCGTAGGCTCCCAAATTAAAACCTTACAAACGTAGTAACGGGAGTAAGGATCGATCCCACGTGGAGTAACTAGTTTAAAATATGTGCTCAAATTAAAGGAAGGGGGGTTTGGAATATATCGAGAATAAAGATAAATTAAAAGAGAATTTAAATAAACAAGTAATTTAACTGAACGAATAAAGCAATGAAAATAATATATCGAAAACACTTATAATAAGAAACCTTGGTTAGTAAAGATCCACCACCGGAATTCAACACTGATCATTGATTAATAAAGTAATTAATATGCAATTGAATATTTGTCGTGAAATTATTTCATTTCTGTTTTCCCTTAGTTGTAGGTAAATAAAGCACAAGCGGTTTAATTACCCCTAACTACTAAATAATCTAAGACAAGCGCTATAGATTTAATTTAATAGCAGCAATAGGAACTAGGAAAACCGACAAACTAAATAACACAAGCACAAGCGGTTGCATTTAATTTATGAAAATATTCTACCCGAGACCAATTATCACTAAGCCGTCAATAATTAACCTCAGTTGCTACTGAATATTAGAATAATTTGTAGCACAACATTATCTAATATAGCAAATAATTATATCAAATAAATAACTAGTAGGCCTCCCTAGAAATTAAATGATACAACTATTCAAATAATTTAGAAGAATATTTAATACTCAAAATGCATAAAAACATATATATAATAAAGTTAAATAAATAACGTAACCTTACAACGTTATGAACTCCGGGGCTTCAATTCACTGAATCAACTAGAAATTAGCCACAAATGGACATTGATAACAGTTTCAACGAATACTATAGAGGAGGAAAGAATGAACATTTTACAAATGGAAACATCTACTATTTATAGCATTCTAAAAATAGGCTAAGGGTCCGTTTGGAAAGTAGGAAAATGACTTCTGGAAAATGTTTTCTGGAAAATGAGTCATTTTCCGGAAAACATTTTCCTTTCCAGTGTTTGGTTGCATTATGGAAAACTGTTTTTCTGTGTTTGGTTCATTTTCTGGAAAATGAGTAGAATTGTATAATTAAACATTTTAATTATTTTATTTAGAATATTACAACATGTATAATAATATATAATAATATAATATTAATTTTAAATATAATAAAAAATAGCTAAGTTTTTCAAAAAAAAAAAAAAAAAACTAATAATATATCAAAAATATTATGGTGGTGGTGGTGGTGTAGTGGTAGTGGTGTTATTCGTTATATAATAATAATAATAATAATAATAATAATAATAATAATAATAATAATAATAATAATAATAATAATAATAATAATAATAATAATAATAATTGGTGGTGGTATGACGGTGGTGGTGTGGTGGCGGTGGTATGGTGGTGGTGGCGACAGTGGTGGTTGCGGTGGTATGGTCGTGGTGGTGGCGGCGGCGGCGGTGTAATGGTGGCGGCAGCGGCGACGGTGGTTGCGGTAGTATGGTGGTGGTGGCGGCGGCGGCGGTAGTGGTGGTTGGTCTGATGGTGGTAGTAGTATGACGGTGGTGGCAGTGGTCGTGCGGTGGTGGTGGTGGTGGCGGCGACGACGGTGGTTGCGGTGGTATGGTGGTGGTGGTGGCGACGGTGGTTGCGGTGGTATGGTGGTGATGGCGGTGGCGGTGGTATGGTGGTAGTGATGGCGGCGATGGTGGTTGTGGTGGTGGCGGTGGAAACGGCGACGGTGGTTGCGGTGGTATGGTGGTGGTGGTGGTGGTGGCGACGGTGGTTGCGGTGGTATGGTGGTGGTAGTGGTGGCGGCGGTAGTGGTGTTGGTGTGATGGTGGTGGTGGTGGCGGCGGCGGTGGTGTGAAGGTGGTGGTGTGGTGGCGGTGGTGGCGGCGGCGATGGTGGCGGTGGTATGGTGGTGGTGGTGGTGGCAACGGTGGTGGTGGTGGTGGTAGCAACGGTGGTGGTGGTGGTGGTAGTGGTAGTGGGTGTTGGTGGTGGTGTGATGGTGGCGGGGTTATAGTGGTGGCGGCGGCGGCAATAGTGGTGGTGATGGTGGTATGGTGTTGATGATGTTGGTGGTGGTGTGATGTTGGTGTAAAAGTTGGAAAATGACTTCCCCCAAAAAAAAGGGGAAGTCATTTTCCTCCAAAACAAGCCTATTTTCCAAAGTCAACGGAAAATGATTTCCGTTGACTTTATTTTCCAGGCACATCCAAACACTGAAAACTTGGAAAATGATTTCCAGAACTCATTTTCCAGGTTTCCAAACACACCCTAAATCAATTTCAACCATCCAATTTCCTACATTTGTGGCTCACGTCCGAAGACTTCCGCAGGAGGTGCCGCATGCTTGACTTAATCGCATGTATTGAATCATTCAATTCATTTGCTGCACAAATTCACAAAGTTAACATTATAATATATATATATATATATATATATATATATATATATATACTAGCTAGTATAGTACGTACTATATATACTATGTATTATATATTATATGATATATATATATATATATCTGGTATTATATTTAGCTCATAATTGTTAAACTCTAAAAAGAACTAATTATTAAATAATATGAAATAATTAATGCAAAATTATTATAAAGATGTACCTAAAATATGAGTGTAAAATATCCCTATCAATTACCGCCTAGATATTCGCTTTCACTGGGCTATATAAGGACCCTTCACGGTTGGTGCAAATCACAATTACCCCTCATTTTCGAAGGCACGGAGCTATGAGTTACAGAGATGGTGATCGCCGCTGGTCCATCCGCAACCAGGAGCACGCTCGACTGGAAAAGCTGAAGCAAAAGAGGCTGGCTAATGGAGGACGTTTGGTGGGCGACTCGGCTTCAGACCCCATTGCGGTGCCCCTAGACATGCTGGACCTGATGTGTAGGGAGCCTATCGATGTGGAGATGGAGCCGGTGGTGGAGGATCTAGAACCAGAGGTGGAAGAGAAGTGGGAGGCTCCTCCCCATTTTGGTATCGCCATGTCGCCGAGTGCTCTGGAGAGGCCTCTGCAAATGATCGATGACGGGAAGCCAGCCGTGTATCTGGACGAGATGCCGGAGCCTGAGCCGAGTCCTCTGCCTTTCCGCTCTCAATACTTTTTGGAAGGCCCTCCGACTGCTCGCCCGTCGGCAGAGAAGGGGGCCAAACCTTGATCCGCCTTTCCCTGTAATTTGCATCTGGCCGAGTTCTAGGCCTTGTACTTTTCCGTACTTATTTAAATAAATTGCGCGTTTTCTGGCTTGTCTTTTACTCTTATTTTCT